GGGGGGGCGAGGCGAATGTAGGTGGTGTGTGGATTGTAAATGTATAATCTAACATGCAAAACCATGTGGATAGAACCTGAAGGTAATTTTGGTAAGCTCACCTGCAAACTGAAGCTGACAGATTTTATAGATGAACCTTCTCCTTTATCCCCTGATGGAGGCTTTTCCACAGTCTAATGAATCTTACTGTCAGGAAGGGTTTTGTGGTATTCAAAACAGATTTTCCCTTTCTTAATTTCATCCCATTACTCCTAGTCAAACACTGTGAACAGCACTAAATTATCCCTTTCAGTCCTAAGGGCACAATTTGTGCATGGTTATCATGTCCAACTGTGGCTGTTACCGAAGTGGAGCAGTACATGTGCTCTTCTTTAATCTTTTCTGGTGAGTCAGTCTCCTCAGCCCCTGGATTGTTTTGCTGAAATGCCTTCAATTTGTTGCTATCTCTTTCTTTTTCTTTTTCTTTTTCTTTTTTTTTCCTCTGAAATCCCCACAGCTGAATGGCTGAATGCAGCATTCCAGGTGTGGCTTTACCTGAGCTGTTCAGAGAAGGGCTAATACCCCCCAGCACCATCGTGCCTTTTTTTTATACATCCACAAGTCGTACTGTCCTGCTGCCGCATTTCAAACTTGTGCTAACTTGCTGGCCACTGTAAGCTCCAGGCTATTTTCATTGCGTTTTCTTTCAAACTCTATCCTTCCAAAGATCCTTCAATTGTTTTATTTTTAATTATTTTCCATTTCCCCAGATTATTCTCATTGTGTTTCCTGTCTGTATTTCTTATTGCTTTCTGTGTTTCCTGCTATTTGCAAAACTTTCCAATTTAGGACCATCTGTGACTTTTATTAGTCTGTTGTTTACTTCCAAATGATTGATGATAATACTAAAAGCATTAGTCTTTACACCAAACCACTAAGGCTCTGTTTTATCCTATCTAAAGCTAGACAGTTAATTTAGGAAGTGCCTTTCCCATGGCTCCCCCTGTCGTTAATGCAAAGACAGGAACCGCCAAAGTGTGAGTCAGATTTTATGTGGGCTGAATTATTCCCTAAATTAATCAAGGTTTAGGTGAGATGAATGCAGGTTTGTCTCCTTTAGACTGAAAATGCCTTGGACTAACTCTATGCTTTAATTTCAACACTTTATTCCCTGTACACTGAGATCAATTTAACATTAACAAAAAAAAGAGGACATTTGTAAATCCTGGAAAATCTGGAAATTTCCAACATTAGAACAATGTTCTGATTTTGGTTACAACTGCGAAAACCGGACTAAGCTTGCTAAATTCAGTGGAGATAGTCCAGCTCTAATTCTGGAGTTGTATTTCATAGTAAGGGTTGAAGTAGGAACATCTGGAGGATTTGATTCTTTAGGTTTTGTGATTGGAAGATCATGTTAATCAGAGCAATTGGTGCAGGAGGAGATTGCTAGAACTGTGTGATAACTGAGCTGTCTCCATTGACAGGTTCAAAGACTACAGAGAACCACCTTGGTCCCAAAATCAGTATGAGTTTTCTAAACAGTACTGGGCGGTTTTATCTGCTCGCTTGGCTTTTGTTATTCTCTTTCAGGTAAGTCTGTTGAGTTGCTGCAATTTCAGTCACAGAAATATCATAATAAATGGATTGAAATGCATGTGCCAAAGAAGCCCATGTCCAATAGAGCTTTTCTGTTTGCAAATACCCAGCCTCATGTGCTTGCACCCAGCCTGCTGAGGTGTCAGTGGACTGCAGCACAGGTTCTCCCTTCAGAGCACTGTGGCACGCCTTCTCAGCGGAGATTTCCTCTCCCTTCACAGAAGGGAAGCCCCACAGTCTGCATTAGCCCCTGGCGCTAACAGTGATCCCCAAAATCATAGAATCATAGAATCATTAAGGTTGGAAAAGACCTCTAAGATCATCGAGTCCAACCGTCAACCCAACACCACCATGCCCACTAAACCATGTCCCTAAGCACCTCATCTACCCGTCTTTTAAATACCTCCAGGGATGGTGACTCCACCACTTCCCTGGGCAGCCTGTTCCAATGTTTAACTACTCTTTCAGTAAAGAAATTTTTCCTTACATCCAATCTAAACCTCCCCTGGCGCAACTTGAGGCCATTTCCTCTCGTCCTTTCGCCAGTTACTTGGGAGAAGAGACCGACACCCACCTCGCTACAACCTCCTTTCAGGTAGTTGTAGAGAGCGATGAGGTCTCCCCTCAGCCTCCTTTTCTCCAGGCTAAACAACCCCAGTTCCCTCAGCTGCTCCTCATAGCACTTGTTCTCCAGACCCCTCACCAGCCTCGTTGCCCTTCTCTGGACACGTTCCAATATCTCAACATCCTTCTTGTAGTGAGGGGCCCAAAACTGAACACAGTATTCGAGGTGCGGCCTCACCAGTGCCGAGTACAGGGGCACGATCACTTCCCTACTCCTGCTGGCCACACTAGTTCTGATACAGGCCAGGATGCCATTGGCCTTCTTGGCCGCCTGGGCACACTGCTGGCTCATGTTCAGCCGGCTGTTGACCAACACCCCCAGGTCCTTTTCCGCCAGGCAGCTTTCCAGCCACTCTTCCCCAAGCCTGTAGCGCTGCATGGGGTTGTTGTGGCCCAAGTGCAGGACCCGGCACTTGGCGTTGTTGACCCCAAAATACCCCAAGCTCTTGAACATTTCAGTTAAGTGGACTCTATCAGTTTTTATACTCTCAGGGGCATCACTTGTAAAAAGCACATAAATGCTATGTAAGCTTGTGAAACGCTGTTCTTTACCCAAAGCAAGAAGTAAACAAAAGTAATAAATCCTCCAATCTTTTGTTAGTTTCTACAAGTAAATGGAGTAAATTCCCCCCAGTGTGGAGATTTCATCGGCAAGGGATTTGCTATCATGGCTTGCTTTCCGAATGGCAGAAGCCTTCTGCTGTCCTCCATGATCTGGGATTCCTCCACAGTCAAATTAGGCCCACCACTCATATTGAAATCTGCCCGTCTATTCTCCTCACCTGCCAAATATTCCTAAGTGTGACTGTGAGTCTTGCCTGGTTTATATTGCCCTCTTCTGCTTCTTTGCTCTGTCTTCAGTAATTTTCCACCGCTGGCTGCAAAACATTTGAAACCAACTGGTTATGCTGGGCTTCAAATAGCCTGCCTGTTGTTCTGCCAGAGTACATTCCCTGGTTAATTAGCTCCATTGTCTCACATGGGGATGGAGGGTTCATGCTAGTAGCCTTGTCAGCAAACGTTCTCACACATTTTGAGGCATTACACAACACAGCAGTTTTCAAAGCGTTATCATGATAATGTAAAACCCAAAGCATGATTTATCTATAAATTTCACAAACAAGCAAGACTTTTTGCCCAGTCTGCTTCCTGCCTTTGTGTTATGAGCATCACCTGTAATGAACTTGACACTTGAGGTTCAGGGTTGTGGCTTGCGCGCTGTGGTAGTGCAAAAAAATCCTGCTTGTCAGCAGACAGAAGGATTTGAGGACAGAATGACCACAAAAGTTGTCTGCTGTCTGCTCAGGCCACATTGGAAACACATGGGTATGATAGTATTGGAGGATGCTTTCACTGTTGTTGCCCTTATAGTAATGGATTCTGAACTCAGCCTCAATGAATTTGATGTTGAGAACTGAGCATCTTTGAATGCCTGTAAAGAATAAGGCTGTTTTAGCTGATTAGGCCATGAATCATTTGATGAATCCAAGTCCTTTCCCGTTTCAAACCTAACTGAAACATGTGTTTAATTAAGCCGCTCCATTGAGGGGGAGTTGTGCACAAATGTAAGCTGGTTCTTGAACTAAGGCCGTACTCAACTGCTTAATACTACATGCCGTCAGCAAAATGTGTTTGATACCTGCCTTATAGCTATAGCAAAGGTTTGGTTTTGCTCTAGTGCAAGTATTTTGGATTTTTCATACTTGCTTCATGCCTGTTGCTGTGTTTGCAGAACTTGGTGATGTTCCTCAGTGTTTTGGTTGACTGGATGATTCCTGACATCCCCAAGGACATCAGTGAACAGATCAAAAAGGAGAAGAGCGTGCTTCTTGACTTCTTCCTGAAGGAAGAGCATGAAAAACTGAAGCTGATTGAAAGTTTTATCGCACCCGACAAGCAGAAACACAAAAGTGGGACCAAAGGCGAAAGGATCCGGGCTGCCAGCTTCTGTCAGTTTAACCGATGTCAGAAAGGCAGCTTTGCCTCCTTTAGCTCACAGCACACAGAAGTGTGACTCCTTAGGGAAGGGTAACCTACTATACTTACTTCTGCAATACCTGCTTACTGTGTGACGTGATTCTGAACCTGGAGCAAGGGAGGGAGAGACGGTCAAGGAAGAGACAGGAAGCAAAAAGGAGGCTGCTTTTGCTTCCTTAGAAACTCCATATGCAAGGGTCTCCATTACATTTTATATGTTATCTGGGCTGCAACATTTTCAGACTTTATCAGTGCGAGATAAGGGTTATATTGTGGCTGTAGCTGGTCCTTGTGGTGATGCATGTGAGTTGGGTGGGCACGCGGGAATTCTCCTGGCTCGTGCAGTCTCAGCGGTAGGACCGCAACCGCCCCTCTTCCTGCAGATGCCCTGTGGGGCACAGGGAATAGGAGGGACACTCCTGCCCTAGTATCTATCTTTTGGCGGATCTGACCGACCTCAGCAAAGTGCGCGTAACGCACGGTCTCACGGCTTGTAGCTGCCAGCGGATGGTTTATAAATATGTGGAGTCTCAAGGAGTCATTGTGCCTTCCCAACATACACTGCCACTTGGTGCTGCCTGTGTAGAGCATGCAGGGCTGTTGTTAAGGGCACAGAGCTGTGGGAACAGAAGGAATGAAAATCACTGAGCACTTTCATCTACAGATATATTGTGTTTTGCTTAGCAGGAGCCTGAATGTATGTGCTAATGAGCAAAGAGGCCACAACATATGCATCAGAATGAAGTAAAGCTGCTAGAATTAGGGACGCTTATTGTTATTCATTGTCCTGAACAAAAAAAAACCCTGCATGTTTGATTCTCCTCTCACTTAGACTGGGAATTCAGCCAGTACCAAGAGGAGTCGCACCACTAAACCGACACCAGTGGGAAGCTGACGTGTGAGAATGGAATCAAGCCCTGTAAATCATGTGGCATCTTCATGTACATTGTGCGTAAAGTAACAAAAGTTGCTGCTGTTGTGCATTTACTGTAACGTAAAATATCTTGCAGAACTGCATTTTATTGGAAGATAAACATGTTCACTAACCAAGCTTTCATCTGCAAGCATTTAATGAATAACTTTATTCTGTTATGAATGAAAATAAAACTTTCTTAAAAAATCCTTTTCTTTTACTGTAGATTGTGTCTCTGACCCAACTTGAAATTTGGAGTCTGCATAAAAGATTTTCTTCTCATTTTCTCTTCTCAATAATGCTTTCAAAACCATCGAAAACACAAACCAAAAGCAGTGCTTCCATTTCAGGCATTGTGTACAATACAGTTGCACTTTAACATAATAATAATATTTTATAAATTTCTGAAGACTAAGAATTTCATTTTTCCCTTAGATGGAAAGACCTTTTTCTATAAGAATTTTTGGTAATTTAATGAGACGTGAAAATAATTGTTTGTGGTTTTTTTTTTTTCATTCAGTGCCTAAACTAAAGAAAATGAGAATGGGAGAACTCTTTCAGGGTGGGCTGAAATGAAAAGTTTCATTCTGGATTTTCATGTTTAAAGTTTCATTTAGGGCTATTTATCCCTTCTATACAGTAGATCAATTTTGAAATGATAACATCAACTTGAATAAAATTGCAAATGTTTAACTTTGTTGAACCAGAAGTCTGACCTCTCCAAATGTTTTCTTCTTTTTCCCCTGTCAAAACTCATTTTGCTGAATTTTAAATTAATTCAGAGAGAGTTCTACCCCCTTCTGAAACTGTTTTTTTCTTAATGAATAACTATTTGCTAGGGATATTGCCCAGATCTCAATTTGACTATATAAGCTCAAGACTACAAATACAGTTTGTAAATGTGCAAAAATGTGTAATATTACAAGGTTTCTCCTTTTTTACATACATACATTATCTAAAACATGGTATTTGAAGAGCTCCTGACACAATGTACTGGGTATAAAGTATATATTTGGTGTTTCTAATTGATTGAGATAGGTAGGGAAATTATAGGAAAATAGTAATCGTCTTAAATACAATTTAAGCTTTTTCTTGGTATAAATACCTCATAGTCACCTGTGGTCATGTGAACAACATCCTTGTCGGGCCCAAAAGTCAGGTTATTGCATTTGGGGAGGCTGAAAGTATGGGATTCTATGACCAAAACATAGCTACTAAAATTTAGGTAGGTTTCCTCTGCAGTCGCCAGAGAGAGAAAGGCACCACCAGCCAGCTAGTCATCCCATCTCGACACTGCTGTCTGAGATGGGCCGATGAATGATCACGGAGGATGCCCATCTCCTTCCCTGCACTGCCAACGGAGCCCCGGTGTCTGTCTTAGATTGTGCACTTGGGCTTTAGGTTGCAGAAGTCCAGCACCTAACCTCCCCAGTCAGAGTGCTTAAGACGTTTAGGTCACTGAAACAATTAGCGACTGCTAGATTCCCAGTTGATTAGGCTTGTTTTGTTTTAATATTGCTAGGTGCTTGAATGAGTATCTTTTGTAAGAATTTGGCTCCCTGCTGGAAATCTGGGACAGGGCTAAGACATAAGCCTTGGTTTCCCCCCTCTAAGATTAACATTTAAATAAGGGCACTGTATCTCCTCAAAAACAAATTGTCTCGTTTTACTTTCAAAAGACCAGCAAGCCCTGTCAGGGATTCCAAGGTCTAATATATCAAGGCAGTCGATATTTATGACATCTCTTCCCTCATTTACACTAGAGGGTATTCTGGTGGTGGATTTGGGGGTTTGGAACTGTCTAAGTTTGTTGTTTACAACTCCAGTTGATTGAAATGCAATCAATTTTCTTCACTCCAAAATGCCTCTAACGGGGAGAAACGTTATGTTTCCAAAAGTAGAAATAACAATCTTGCCAGACCTTTAGATTATCATAATGCTCCCTTTCTTTTTCCAGGTATGTGGGACTGCATGCAGAAATGGATTTAGAAAGAGGCTTACAGGTTGCATGGCACCCTCTCTTCCAGCAGCTTGTTGGATGAAGGATATTCAGAGTTAAGGCTCTTCTTAAAATAGAACCATTTTTGTACACCCTCCCTGTACCCAGGAAATACCCTCTTGTCTATTTAAAAACTGTGAGTCATTCAAAAACGGTCAGAAAAATGCTATCCCAAAGTTGAATGCATTAGGCTTTTGTTACACAGAATTTCCATAACAAGCAACTGAAATGCTTGCTATGGTCCAAAAATGATAATATGTTTCTAGATTTCCTAGCAAAAGGAACTAGAGAAGCCAGCAGACATACACTGATGCTCTGAAAGTTCTCCTGAGGTTTATATATTTCACCCAAACAAGGCTGGGAAAGCGGCAGAGCCGCAATCACAGCTGACGACCAGATGGGATCTACCATGATACCAGAAACGGGACAGACAGCTCAATTATCTTTATCTGTGATATGGTTTCTGTTTTTCTCTTAAACTTGAGAGTTTCATTCACTGAGAATTCCTGCACGTTTGGTACTTGACTTAGGTGCAGTCCCTGGGGATTGCACCCATTGTTACATTTCTATGGCAACCTCTGGATTCTCCTGACACTGCTTCCCATCAGCTCCTGTAATTGTAGATCGCTGATTGGGCATTCATTCATTCCCAGTTTCTAACTTACCTCTTTCAGACAAAGCAAGACTTTATCTGATCCCTTTTTATCAGCATGATACTTGTAAGTCTACCCACAAAGCGCCCCCTTTCCATAACTTGTGTCTCAGAAGCAGAGAATGACTGTTTCAAGAGACGTGTACGGAAAATTCTCTCTAGGGAAGAAGAGAACAGGGATGCAAGCAGAAAGACAAAGCGGTAATAAAACCTGTGAGCTATTGTCATTCTTTGCTTTAGCAATGAAAACAAGCTAAAATCTCTGCAAAAGAAAGGAAAAAAAGTAAGCAGAGAAGAAAATTTGCATAGATTTTCCTGCACATTTAGTTCAGAATTTCATAGCCCTTCGGATTGCTCCAACTCTGAAGTAAGTAAAATGCCCAATTAAAACAAACAAACAAACCCCCACGTCCCTTTGTATGTACACACTGAGTACTAAACAGTCACAAAACACCAAATCCACACTCCGAGCTTCATGTGGAGTCGCATTAATAGGAATGTACATAATTGCACATCGTATCAGAACAGTGAGAAAAGGAAGTAACAAAATGGAGGAATGAGGCTCGTATAAAGCCTTAACACAGATATAATTGGATGTAACCTTGTAATTATCAGGCAACGTAAGGCATGTCCACCTCTGCGGCCAGCAGAAAGCTCACGGTGACTGAAAGAGTTTGATGCCACATGTACCACAACTTCTCCTTTGGACTATCGGTGCAGGGTAGTTTCAAACAGCTTGCAGAAGTTATTCAGGAGAAGAAATTGACCCAGACTGAAGGGGTTCCCAGCTTCTGAGTCATGCTATGAACTTAGATGCCATTCAGTTACAGAATCCATCCGATCCACACAGCCAGACGAACCCTCTCACAGTGGTTATCTCTAGTTTTAAAGAGGGCTTTCAGGAACTGAGTAAAGCTGCAGGAATGTTAGCCCTTTCTGTCATGTCTTCTTCATGCAGACTTGCCCGCTTTTTAATCATCAGCACTAGATGCCTTTTTGTGATGGATATCATTTGCTTTTCAGTCCTCAGCATTCTCAGTATGTAGAAAATACTGCCATCTAGACCTCTTCTGCAATTTGACCTTTCATGACACTAAAAAGTAATGAAATGTAGTCCAGGAAGAAAAGGGTAGCCTATGTGGAAGTATGTCTGTTAAATTATTGCTTGGGAATATCCAACTCAACGTGCACAATATTTACCACTGTTAGCAATAAACTCTTCTGACTACAATAATATAACATCTGTTGCTGTTATGCAGTCTCACCCTTTAATTAAGCACAGATGGTCTTCCTATTCCCCGTCTGGTCTAATTCTTTTGCTTTTGAGAAGAAAATATAAAACAGGTTTTTTTGTGACCTATTCTTGTAGGTAAATTCCTCCACGCCATATACTGGTTAACACATCTCACGTGCCCAGTAACACCAGATTTTCAGATATGCTAGTAGAAAGTGCCTTTATTGCACTTGGAGGTA